TGCCAGTAGAGGCGGAAAGTCACCTGATACTTTTCATACAAATTGACGACCTGCGAATCTCGTCTCTTCGTCACCCTGAAGCTCATGTCGCGGGGGTGGTGTGGAGAAGGCAGACCGCTGGTCGGGGCAGGTTCGAAGGGCGGCTAGTCCAGACGTCGTCAAGGCAGTCGCGTCTCTTGGCTCGACCGGAAGTGTGCGCAACGGACCGTGACGGTGAGCAGAGAGTTAACGTGTCGAGGCGAGCGAGTGTAAAGCAGATCCCCTCATCGCCTACTCGCCTGATCCCTTTTTCCAACTGATCTCACTCCAGCCGACCGGCCTTCTAGCGTCAAGGTTGCATCAGCATGCTCATCGATCAATTCGAGTCGGACCAATCAGACGGCAGGTAATGCTTGCCCACCGGTGATTGGTCCATTCACGATCTTGCATACGGCGTAGACGTTGTGTTTGCGCGACGTCTGATTGGTGGACAAGGCACTAGTGTCTGTCTGGGGGAATTCTCCTGGCGTCGCGATGCCGTTTGCCCGCAGCTAGCTGCGCGTCCACCCTGTGCGCCCTGCATTCCTGCATGACACGTTATCACATCACGTTCATTCACTTGCCGTAACTGGGTGAAGGTCGTTTATGGCAGAAAAGATGTAGGAAGTACAGTCAGTCAGCTGACCACATGGTCACACAAACAGTAGCCAATTGACGGGCTGGCCTGTTGGCTGATTGGCTGATTGGCTGGAGGGAAGAGGGGCAGACGACTGCAGACGACTGTTAAGTCGACTGTGGACAGGCGCACAAACGGCAAAATGGCAAAATGGAAAAATGGAAAAAGGTAGGAGGATCCAGGAGAATAGATTTGGAAGCGCGTCTGAAAGTTAGACAAGACAACCTGAAGGTAGCCAGAAAAATGTGGAGCTCTGGAAGGGAGAAATGTAAAAGTGAGAATACAGAAAAATTGACAGTTTGAAGAATAGAAATGAAATGAATTGAAATAAGAACAAAGGAAAGGAAAAGAAAGGAAATGAAAAGAAAGGAAAGGAAAAGAAAGGAAAGGAAAAGAAAGGAAAGGAAAGGAAAGGAAAAGAAAGGAAAGAAAAAGAAAGGAAAGGACAAGAAAGGAAGGGAAAGGAAAAGAAAGGAAAGGAAAGGAAAAGAAAAGAAAAGAAAGGAAGGGGAAGAATAGAAATGAAGGGAAAGAATAGAAATGAAAGGGAAGAATAGAAATGAAAGGGAAGAATAGAAATGAATAGAAAGAGTAGAAAAGAAAGGAAATAAATGGAAAGGAAAGGAAAAAAATGAAAGAAAAGGAAAGAATAGAAATGAATGGAAAGAGTAGAAATGAAAGAAAATAAATGGAAAGGAAAGAAAGAATTGAATGAAAAGGAAAGAAATGAAATGAAAGGAAAGAAAAAAATGAAATGAATGGAAAAGAAAGGAAAGAAGATAAAGGAAAGGAAAGAAAGGAAAGAATAGGAATGAAATGAATGGAAAGGAAAGGAAAGTATATAAATGAAAGGAAAGGACATGAAAGAATAGAAATGAAAGAAAAGAATAGAAATGAAGGGAAAGTATTCAAATGAAAGTAAAGAATATAAATTAAAGGAAAGAATAGAAAGGAAAGGAGAGGAAAGGAAAGGAAAGGAAAGGAAAGGAAAGGAAAGGAAAGGAAAGGAAAGGAAAGGAAAGGAAAGGAAAGGAAAGAATATAAAGGAAAGGAAAGAATAGGAAGTAAAGTAAAGGATAGTAATGAAAGAAACGAAATTAAAATAAAATAAAAGGAAAGAAAAGGAAAGAATAAAAATGAAAGGAATGTATAGAAATGAAAGGAAAGGAAAGGAAATAATAGAAGTGAAAGAAAAGAATAAAAATTTTAGGAAAGAATAGAAATGAAAGGAATGTATAGAAAGGAAAGAAAAGAGTAGAGATGAAAGGAAAGAAAAGATTATAAATGAAAGGAAGGTATAGAAATAAAGGAAAAGGAAAGAGGATGAAAGGAAATAATCGAAATGAAAGGGAAGAATAGAAATGAAAGGAATGTCTAGAAATGAAAGCAAAGGAATAAAAAGATTAGAAATATAAGAAAAGATTAGAAATGAAAGGAAAGGGGATTCAAGGAAATAATAGAAATGAAAGGAATGTATAGAAAGGAAAGGAAAGGAGAGGAAATAGTAAAAGTGAAAGGAAAGAATAGAAATTTAAGGAAAGAATATA